AAATAGTATACAGTAGGGTCTTGCGTTATATAGAAACAGAGTTAATGGGAATAAATATAAATTGTTAAATGGTTATTATGAAAGTTACAGTATTTTTTATCTGAAAGTATAAAAGTATATAGAGCGACCCTTAGTGCTCTTTTAACATCTTGAATAACTCTTTCTAGTTCTCTCTTACGTATTTCGCTAATAGTAAATTTTGGTTGACTTTATAATCTTTCCACAGATAATATTTCGAGTAATTTTATCCTGAACTTAGATTATCATAGTTGAAAGTTTGAGAAGTTGTTTATTACTGTATTACACAGTTGAGATAAATTTTTTAATCAACTGTATGTACTTTAAATTTACTTTTAATAAGAAATCGCTCATTAATTTCCTATACGACTGTATATACGGTATTTACTTGTTCAGTGAAATTTTTTTACATAATTGGATTTTTATGAATTTTCCGTCGCATTTTAATAAGACAAAGGATTATACCAAAAGCAACCAAAAACACAATAAATCCTAATGTCGCACTTAAACCAATTAATAATTTTTGTTCAGCATTTAAGGAGCCTCCTATTGGAGGTTGGTTAGTTGAAGCCGTGGGAGAAGGCGACACCTCGGAAACGCTAAACGAACTTTCCCACGAATAGCTCGTAATATTAAGCAAATACAATTTTTCGTTAAGATTTTTAGTATTGCCTTGTGCGTCAGGAATATAGCCTAGTTTAATGCAGTCATGAAATCAATACAAACATCAATGTAGATTAATAGTGTCGCTTATTGTATTTACCAAATGCAACAATCATATAATTCTCGTATATAATTGCTGAATGTTCAGCTAAAGGGGGTGGACCATTATCACCAATTGTAATATTCGGAATGTACCAATTGTATGGACTAGAAGTTGTGTTCAGTGCAGCAAGTTGAGCACTAACCGAATCATTTGCGACACCAGTTCCTCCGTAAATAATAATTTGACCGTCTTTACCTTATAACAAAGAATTTTTAAAATGTTAACTCACAAATTTCACAACTACGTTAGATACATTTGCAAAAAAATATGCATACTGAGTACGGCAGTGTGAGATAGACGTGCCTGCA